TAGACCTAATTAAGAGTGAATGACTGTAAATTCTATGTAAATTTTAGCCCCCATCCTCCAAATACTAGTCATAGGCAATATAGACGGTATTTTAGGAATGACCTTTACCCCTGAAATTATATTCTGACTGCCAAGTTTGTTGAGGACTTAACTTTTTGAGTGTTTTTTCTGGAGAGAACTCTGAATTGCTGAGCTCTGATGAACATTCTGTGTCCTTTTATATTAAATAGCTCCTCCCAGACTGTCCATTCCACAGAAGACTAATTCTAATTTATGTAACATTTTGGTGGAGTGAGAGCTGCTCTTGCTAGTTGTAGCTAGTTGCTGTTGATAGTTGCTTTAGTTGTATGGCTTACAAAGCAGGTACGGGCCAGAGGCTCAGGAGCGGTGAGAGGCTTCACCAGAGACAGGGAACAGAACAGGCAGATCGACAAAGTACACTGCTGAGGGGAGCAGCAGACTGGTCAGGAGAGGTCTGCCTCGCCATTTGGACTCCTCCGGGGCAGGCGGGAATCGAACTCATGCGGAAGCGGCTTTAGCTTCTCAGTGCAGTGCTTTAACCCTCTGCGCCACCAGGGAGGGCCTTGAAGAGATTTTTAAGGTATCTTACCAATTCATTAATATTTTCTATGTTGTTATTACAATATTTGCATGAACTATAAGGAAGTATTTCAAAGACAGGCAGTGTGAAATGCAGTGTTGTTAAAACTTTTGACTGGGTTTCTAGCAAGAGATTTTCCTGTGGCTATACTCCATAGACCTATCATCCTATATGTGCATGTGTCTGCATGAAAAAAAAATATATATATATACATACATATAACTGAATGAAAAACTTCACAAAACAGACTCGGAAGTATGTACAGTCAACTCTGATGGTTTCTGTTTTCTTGTTTTTTTTTTTTTTTTTATATTTTATTTGTGCATACAGAACTGGGGTACAGGCCAGAGATTCAGGGGCAGTGAGAGGATTCACCAGAGACAGAGTGGGGAGCAGAATAGGCTGACTGACGAAGTACACTGCTGAGGAGAGCAGCTGGCGGGTCAGGAGAGGTCTGCCGCGCCATGTGGATTTTCTCCGGGGCAGGCGGGAATCGAACTCATGGGGAAATGGCTTTAGCTTCTTAGTGCTGTGCTTTAACCTGCTGCGCCACCAGGAAGTGCCTGTTTTCTTGTTTTTAAATAGTGCCAGCTACAAACTATTAACTTGATTTTTGTTCCTTGTTTTTTAAAAACACTGGAGTCCTAGACTAAGAGTTTGTATGCCTCATTTCCCCTATTTATTTGACAGTGGGTAGTTATTCATCCACTTTTTATTTCTTTTTTCTTCACTGATTCTCTATCCTTTTCCTTTCCTTTCTCTAATGGCGGACTAATTTGTACTGTATGTTGGATTATATTTGTCTTTATGTTCCTGATTAAGGAGAAATT